CAGCCAGCTCAGCCCCAGCCTGCACAGATGGCCGCGAATCGAGCGGAGGCACTGAAAGAATGGGGTCTGGTGATGAGCTACGGGGGGGACCCGAAGGAGCTGGCCAGTTTCCTAGTCCATGTGACAATTTGCATGGAGAACTGTGGTCATTTCTTCCCAAGCAACACGCAGCAGGTAGCCTACGTTGGCCGGGCGTTAGTGGGACGAGCGGCGGAACGGCTAACAGAGATGCATGAAGCTCGAGCGCCCGAACTTCACCACCTCCTGAGATTCATGAGGGCGCTGCAAAGGAGATTTGAAGATCCGAGTGCAATCATGAAAGCCAGAACCATCCTACGTAGTCTCAAGCAAGGAGACTGCACAGTCGCTGATTATGCCCTGGAGTTCTGGAGTCTGGCGGGGAAACTCCACGATTGGCCTGAGCAGTTCAAGGTGTCCTGCTTCCAGAAGGGCTTGAGACGAGACCTCTGGCAACTGGTCTACTCATGGGGAAACCCACCAACCGTTGAGAGATGGATCGCTTTGGCGGTGGAAGTGGAGGCTGACTAGATGCGGGTGGACCCAGAGTTCAAGAAATCCCTGAGCCCCCCGCTAACCCCCCACCAAAAACCTGACGGAAACTCTATAATGGATCTTACTACATTGAGTCCTGTAGAAGTGTGGACAATCTCTCTCTCTCTCTCATTTTCCCCCTTTTTATGATATTGTTATAAGTCTGAATACATTGTGTTGTCTGTCCCTCAAGCAACTCAAGGGTTTATGCTGGTCCCTGATTGTTGAAAGGATGAGCTTTCTTCCCCTTCAGTAGGAGAGGATCGTGACAAAAAAACAACCAACCCTTCTTATCTCTCCACTTATGGAGTCATATTTCATGATCTGACTGCATGAGGGTGTCGCTATTCAAAGTCAGGTGCTTCCATTGCTGAGGTGGCACCAGCCTGGTGATTTATATTCTGCCCAAATTCGCCACATGCATGTGTAGATCATGGTCTACCCAAGCTTCAGCCAGGACACACAAGTATCAGCCCCTTGTGCTATATTCTTTGGGGGTGACGGTGGCTTTTCTTTGCCTTTGAGCTACAGACCAGGTTGGTTTCATTTCTCCAGCTTCGCTCTACCAAACGATGACAAGGATGGCCTTGCTCTTGCTTCTGACCTCCCCCCCCCCATTTCGGCTTCTTCAGCACTTCCACATGAACCCACCTCCTTGACCCGTGCTGGGTTTTAAACTAGGGAAGTTCCACCCAGCTGGCCTTCCTGCAAACTCCCCTTGACCTGCTGAGGCAGACAGTCTGTCTGCAAAGGCTACAAAAAAGAAGCCCGTCTCCATCTCCTTGGACTTTTCTGACAGCTGATAAGCCACTAACATTCCACAGTGCCCGCCCGTCCCTGCCTGCAACGTGCAGTGCGGCTTGCAGAGTATTTTTCCCTTGAAGGAGCTGTGGGTGGCTTGAAGAAGGCTTGAAGGGGAAGGAAGCAGGTTGCCTTCACAGCTCAAATATCACGTCCTGCCTTGGCAATCTCCCGTTTTACAAATTGAAGGTGCTGAATTGCCTGTATCCAGGTTGCGGTGTCTCCAACAGACCTCTTGATCTGTTGCTGTACAGTGGCTGCTACGTGAGACATGACTGGCAAGATTATCAGGCAGGTATTACTTCAACAAGAGAACTACTCAGCCCTTCAGATTCAAAGGCCAGTAGGGGATCTGGAGCACCCAGGGATGCAAAGATAGCATCCTTTGCTGGATTTTTGGGGTACCAGGATCAGTTTTGGATTGTATGCTGCTCGTTTGTTGCTGTTATTCTCATTTGGTCATTCACTGCCCCAAGTCCCAATGGACTGGAGCGGTCTGCAAATACCCTTAGTAAATAAACGCTAACTTCCTTCAAGCAGTTCAGCCCTTTCCTTGGATTCCATGGCTGTCCTCTGCAACGGTTTAGTGATCCTGGGGGGTAGAACATGTTTGGATTCAGGAGCTGGGCCCTGTTTGTGCCTCCTTGTGACCTGAAGGTCTTTGAACTGGAAGTTCCTCCCCACCCTGTTAAATAACAGTCATTGATTCATTTCTCTAGATGAACATTCCTTCAATTCCTGATGACTTCAAAGGCATGTCCATGTCGTTTTCATAAGTGATTGGCTTCTGGAATGTTTTTATATCCCAGGCTAATCTACAATCCTGGGATTTCTTGCTCTGTAGATAGGCTGAACTACAACTCCCATTATCCCTCACCAACTGTCATACCAATTGGGTATGATCGAAGCTGCAGTTTAACCCTTCTGTAGGGTGACAGACTGAAGAAAGTTGGATTTACTCAATCAAGGCAAAGTTGTCTCAAGACAGAGAGTAGCAACCCCAGAGAATTGTTTGGGTTCCCTGGCTTTGTGGCTCCAGAGCACCATAAGATCCTTAGCTTTTATAAATGTGCTCCCGAAATACATTTTAAATATATTTACTAAGCCTTTTGTAGACTAAATGCAAAGAAGAAGAAAATGGAGGAGGAGGAGGAAGAGGGTTTAGCCATACAGGGCAGTGAAATGTGCTTTATGGGTGGAAGGAACTCTACAGATTGGAAGGCCATGGAACAGAATCTGGATTCTTGAAAAAGTGCTCATTTGATTCTTGATGATGGGAGCCCCTGTTCCAAGAAATAAGTTTGGCCTTCCACTTCCTCATTTTAGTTCCTTCTTGGTAAAAGGCTGGCAAAATATTGTGGTTTCTGGAAAGCAAACATGACTTGCCATCAATATGGTGGTTTGGACTACCACAGAAGCTGTTCTAGAACTGTTGAGTTCTTCATACTAGACTTGGCTAGGCTTCATTCCAGATTGCTAGCTCTGGCCAGCTCTGATTGCGGGAGCCAGACTACTCAAGAGTAATGGCTACTCCTGAGTAAGCTGTCCTCTTATGGCACCTCTCATGTCACTTCCTACTTCACTGCCTGTCTGCTGTTTAGCTTTCAAGCATAATAGCATCAACACTCTTGTGGGCTATGCAGCCACAGCTTGAGAATGAAGTAAGAGTTTACAGAAGAGGACTCAGGAGCCTGGAGTTATAATACTGATAATCACTGATTTGAGGGTCCAATCAGATCTGCTTGGTGGCTGCACCTCCAATGAGGATTCATCTCTAAGAGATATGACTCATAGCTGGAGTGAAGGGCTGAACTAAACTCAAGGATACAGGATGTTTCATCGAACTATCTGGTCTCTGATTTCCATTTCCAAATTTAACTAGAGGAAAGACTGTACCCAGACATGTATTAAAAATCAGAGATTCTCTTCTACCACGTTTCCTCACTATACAAAGGCTGCTGTTGTGGATGTTAAAAAGCTGTTGTTTTAAGAGTTGAAGATGTTATGCTTTCTGCTTCAAGAGCTCCATTTATTCTAGCCTCTGGCTAGATCGTCGCATAAAAATGGCTGATTGAGTGGAGTCCCTGGTATAAAAAGGAACAATGACAACACAGCTGCAGTTTTGCATGCCAGGTTTGGAAGGATTACGTATGTTGTTTTGTCTTTTAATTTTATCCATTAAATCCAAGGACAAGATATTTATGAGTACGTAAGAAGGACTGACATAATAAGACCAGCACAGCTTTATTCTTCAGATGGCACCAGAACTAGTTGGAATGGGCAACAATTGCCAGGGAATTTGGGTCCCATTCTTTGTTCCTTAGCCCTACCATTTCCATAACGCAGTCCTTCCTGTTTGCTGCTGTTTTCTTCTTCCTGACAATTCTTCTGACCACATTAGTGAGATGCCCAACACAATCAGCAGACCTTCATTGTTTTGTACTCCAGACAAGAGACCTCCACATGCCCACTTCCATTCCTGATTCAGGAAGACTTTGCCCTTATCATGGATTGATAGGCATGCAATTGGTTTGAGGCGTGAGTGGGTGCAATGCAGTGACAGGCAATGGGGCAACACTCCAGATGCTGGCTGTGAGGGCTGACTCCAGCAAGGCTGGAAGTAAAGAGGCTGAGATGGAGTAAGAATATTATCAAAACACCCTGCAGGTGCCCTCAGCAACCACAGCTGAGTTTACCCAGTAAGGGCAGGAGAAAAGGATGCAGGGTTTAAACCCTGGAGTAGACATATTAAGCGTGACCAGGGTCTTAGATTCTGCAATAGCAGATCGATGTTGTTTTAAGACCATCTGCAACTAAAGCTCCTTATCTGAGTCTAGCCCATGACATTTCCACTGCTAAACTCATCAATGCATGTTCGTGTTCCTAAAGAGAGATTAATAGCTGTCCTTGAGATGGATCTCTGATACTTTGGATTTCAACTTGCACAGCCTTCATCATTGGCCAGGGGCATTGGGGGTGGGGAACACAAATATTCAAGGTAGAAGTTATAATGGTCCAACTGAAGCCCTGATCTCTTCTTTACAAGTGTCAGCCTTCCCAGGTAGACCAAAAAGAACCATAACCCGATGAGCTAATTCTACTTTATTGGAAGGCTACGTTAACAGAATTGTGCAAGTCTGAAAGTGCGATTCTCCCACCGTCTCCTTTACAGCCTGAGAAGTTATGGAGGTTCCTTACTGAGTCTCTTCCTCTGTCCATTATGCAGCTGTGGGCTACGTCCTTTCTCATCTGACCATTCCCTAGGCAGCATCTCTTCGACCCATCTCTCAAGGTCTTTCACACATACCATTACAACATATGATGCATGTAAAAAAGGCATGGGCTTCAATGCGGCCGCCATCTTCAAAAATTTTTTTATCCAGATGTCTCTGTCCTTGACTATGCTACTGACTAGGACTGATTGGAACTAGATATATGACTTGGTCCCAAGTATGGTCCCCATATGTACCTGGAGATACCATCACACCAAGCTCCACATCCCACCTGATTTTATTTCATTTTGGCTCCAAATCTTGCTACATTTCATTTTTTTTCTTTCTCCTCTGCCATCTTTCCTATAGCACCATAATCAATCAATCAATCAATCAGTCAATCAATCAATCAATCAATCAATCAATCAATACTACCTTTAACGAAGACATATAACTTGGCTTTCAGTTCCTCAGCGAAGGGGAGGTGGCCATAATAGCAGGTGAAATAGCCTGTGTCACTGGCGACAGCTCGGTTGACTCCGAGAGTGCTGCAGGAATGCCATGACTTGTCCGAGCAATTTTGCTTGTGAACGTGCCACCGCTTGCTGTTGGTGTTCTGGCCATTTCCAGCTAGCCACTTCAAGCCAAGGGAGCCCCTGGCAACAGAAAGTACCATTCCATCAGTTTCAGGCATAACGCTGAAAGCCAGTTTGGTGCAGTGGTTTGGGTGCTGGACTAGGAACCAGGAGACCATGAGTTCTAGTCCTCCCTTGGGCACAAAAGCTGGCTGGGTGACTTGGGGCCAGTCCCTGCCTTTCAGCCCAACCCATCTCACCAGACTGATGTGGTGGGGACAATAGGAAGAGGGAGCATTATGTATGCCCCCTTGAATTGTACATAATAAAGTCAGGATATGAGATCTAACAAAACTAAAAAAGCAGGTGGGGTACATATGGGCTGAGCTCATATTTAATCAACCTGGGCTATTCAGATAGGATGGATGACCACTCCTCTAAACCTCACACAGTTTGTCATGCTGCTGTGGGAGTGGAGGTCCCACAAGAAAGGAAGTCTGATTAAGCCTAGACGTCAGCACTGGAGTAAATTGTGTGATGTTAATTTGAGTCTGATGTGTTTTCTATGCCCAATGGAGGTTTCCTGCCACACACTCTCAAATATAAAATTGCCTGGTCCAGTGATCTGATCAGCCTTTTCAGTATTACCCCTTCTTCTTCTTGTAGCCCTCAGGAAAGGAA